CGGGCAGACATATGAAACATGTTGCTTCTTGGACCATTTTTCCTAGGGAATAATGACACCATTCCACACTTGAGAACCCATTTCTCATTTGTCTCCCTTTTGAATTTTGACTGAGTTGGTGGGGGACAGTTTTCAAATTTAGTTCAAACATTGTAATTATAAAAATCAGATCTCTTTGTTACTCAAAGCAAACTTTTAAAAAGACACCTGAAGTTTACTACTTACAGAGAGAAGATTTCGTCTTGTTTTGTTTACTGCTCTGCATGTTTTTCAACAAACACACACAGGTTTGTGTGCATGCCCATTCACACAAACACACATACACACACACACACACACAAGTTCAAACTCACTTGCTCAGGTTTAACTCTCAACTTGGCAAAACCTCAGGTTGAGTCAGGTTTCAGCACTTGTATTCCCACAAGCCCTTGCTCTGCATCCATCTAGTTGTTTCCACACTGAAAGGGGCTAATCTCCTGAATCAGAAAGCCCGAGCTGTAAGGCTGTGTAGTTGACACAAGGTTACTGGACCTGAGTGGGGCCTGGGGGCAGCGGCTGGCTGGTGACAAAGGCATGAAGACTGCTCTGGGAAGTGATATCCTGTCCTACACCGAGCCTCGGCTAGGCCTCTAATCTCTCCATCATTTCCCATTGCTTAGAAGAAGAAGTAGTGCCACAGATTCAACCAAGAATACACTGTGTGTCATGTTCATGGGTAAACAGTAGCTTCACACTTGCACAAGGATTGCTCTGAAGTACTTTGGTAAAAAAAAAAAAAAAAGAGAGAGACCATGTTATATTCATCAAGGCTGCTAGTAGAGTTTGTTTCAAAAGTGTGTTACATAAGTAATGGGAGATGATGAAGCAAAGAGAGAGTAGCCAAAGCAGAGGCATAGACAAAGAAAGAAACGATGTTCACACAGATGGGAAGGATCTGTACAACATTGCCCCCTGCTGAATCAGGAAGAGCACCCAGCTTAAAGCATATAACTCACACCCCATACGTGATGCAGAGTTATCAAACCCAGCAAAGAATATGAAAAATCACAGCAAAAGAGGTATGGAGCCCATTACATGGTTGCCATCAAAGTGTGTGCTTAGGGAGGATTTATTTATTAGCAGAGAACAGAAAAGATGTGCTCAGATGTAGATGGTCCCCTAGTCAACGGTGAAGGAACAGTGTATTAATTGGCTTTAATAGTACACTTGGCATGATCTACAATCACTCAAAAAACAGTTCAATAGAAGAGTATCTTTAGAAGGGCTTTACCTGTACCCATTGGCATGTTTGGAGGGGGGGGGTGTTCATTGTTATTTGACGTAGGAAGACTCAGCGCACTGTGGGCAGCAACATTCCCTAGGTTGGGCCCTGAACTGTGTAAAATTGAAGAAAACTAGCTAAGCATGAACAAGGAGGAAGCACAGATGCACTCATTTCTCTCTCTTCTTGATTGTGGATGTCCTATGATTAGTTGCGTGAGTTCCTTACTTGACTTCCCCATAATGATGGTCTATAACTTGGAACTGAAGCCCAAGTGAACTTCTTCCCCAGAGTTGCTTTTTGTCAGGGTACTTAACACAGCAACAGGAATGACACTCAAAGAACATTCAGAAATATTTTAGAATGATGTGGCCCTCGATTAGGAAGAAACGGTCAAGAAAGGAAATGAATGTTCTTTTGTCATTTAACTTGTTGGTACTGGGATGAAGGGTATATGTATTACTGAAGCTTTTCCTCCAGACGAAAACTTAAAATGTGCAGCAGGTGTTCTGTCATCTCTGTGCACACAGTCCTCCCCTTCAGTGCCTCTCCCACGGAGGTCTTGCAGGGTTACTTATCATACCAACATGCTGACCATCTCAGTAGCTTCATTTTTGTGGTTGTGATCAAATATCTTGACAAAATGCTGTTTAGGGGAGAAAGGTTTCCTTTTGCTTAGCTCCAGGTCACAGCCACAATGTTAGGGAGTCAGAGCAACAGTGGCCGGAAACAGCTCATGGCATCCACAGTCAAGAGCAGAGAGACGTGAAAGCACACTGACTTAGTGCTTGGCAAACTGTGTCTACTCTTATACAGACCAGAAGCCCAGACAGAGGGAATGGCGCCATCTACAGGAGGCTGGGTCTTCCCATATCAACTAACCTGATCTAGACAACCCCTCATTGAGACTCTCCTCCCAGTCAGACCTTAGGTTTTGCTAGATTTACAGTTAAAATGATCATTTTCACAGTCCTACATCTGTGGGGACAAGTGGACTGGGATCCCACAGGTTCCTTCCCAAACACAATGATGCCGTCTGAGATTACTATCACTCGCCCTTGTCTCCCTAAATCCAGACCCACACTTTTGAGACTTTCCATATTTTCAGCAGTCAGTGTTGCACTAATATTCTTGTATGTATGCATGCATGCCAGTTTGATTCAGGGTATTTTTAATTAAATGATGAGTCATTTGAAATTAAGGACAGTATCTGATATGTTTGATACTGCAACCCCCCCTCCCCCAGCTACACCAACCTCCCACATGTGTGAATGAATGTAGGCTGGGGAAGGAGGACATAGAGGGAAGTTAGGGCTATGGGATTAAAAACTTGGGAAAAGACAATGGTTCACCCTTTTACTTTGTTTAAAACATTTATGTACCACTAGAGGAATCTAGTTGTGTGCTTAAATGTCCTTATCCACAACTTCAGGATATTACTATTAACCTGGAGGGTGTGTGAGGCTTCAAAGAGGAAGGATAGAGGTCAGATGTGGCTCAGGGTATAAACAGCTTTCAGCTCGTCTAGTGGTATGTCACAACCCCAAGCTATAGTCCTCTTATCTGTAAACTGAAGATAACAGTCCATCCTCTGCTTGGAATAGTGATGAGAATTATTATTAAATATCAAATATTGGATGCTGAATAAAACCCAAGTGTCAGCTGAAAGTACCCGATTCTGTTATCATTGTCACACAAACTTTTCTTGCATTAATCAAGCAGGATTCATTCAACGGTAAGAGGCAGAACACTCATCATTTACTCATACGCAGAGACTGGTGTGGGGTGCCAGGTGGCATAGGATCCAGAAGCTGAAGGACTCCTGAGAAATCCTGTTCACCCCAAGTCCTTGCTCTTCTGGGGGTTGCTAGTCTCTCTTCATCATTGTCCTATCATTCCAGAAGCCTTTCTGCAAGTGACACTGAACCTTGAGTCATATGCTCTTTGCATCCAACCATGTCAGCAATGAGTAGCCCATCTTCATCTCAGCATTTATAACCCAAGTCACAGAGTGTCCACTTAATTCTGGCTAACTTGGTTTCCACAGTTGGTTGGGGGTGGGGGGCTCTCTGGTTGGCTGTACTGGATCACGGGATTAGCCTATGGCCAACTTGCAGGATAGCGACTTCCATGGAGGGAAAATAAAAATAAACACTACTGTATTAAGTTGCTACTTCTGTAACTAAAGGTTAGAATGGGATGTCTTGACTGATGTGTGTTCTTTTCCTGAAGCAAGCAAGCTAGCAAGGAAGGAAAGAAGGAAGAAAGGGAGGAAGGAAATAATAGAAGGGGAAAGGAAGAAAATGAATGAGTGGATAAAGATGAAATTTGTCAGAGTCCATGGGAACCTGGGCTTGGGTAAGACCTATGAGATCATAGACTCTGATGCCCTCTTGTGAATAAGATGTCATCATTCACACCTCTAAGTCATTTGAGGATTGACACAGTCCTTTGCTCTGCTTCAGGCGGTAGCTGACCGTATTAGATAATAAAGAATGATGGTGCTTACATACTCACAAGGAAGGGGCTGGACTTGGGAGGTTCAAACTGAGTCATGCCACACTGACACCCTGACTCCCTCACATCTCTCCCACTCATCAAGCTTAGGGACATGGTGGAATAGACACCTGATGATTACAGTGAAGCCCATAGAGGGCCATAGCAGAGAATTCCCAACTGTTGACTCTAATTACGACGATGAAATAGCTCAGGGCCCCTGTGGGCCCAGCATCGCATGACCCTGGAAGAGAGGGAACGGGAGAAGTGGTCAGGCAGCTCCCAAGAGATGACACTGTGAGGAATTTTACACCCACTTTCCAGGCGGCTCTAGTCTCAAAGAGTGAAAGACACAAGGAACAGTTTCCCAAGCTCCTGTTGCTACAAAGGGTCTAGTTGTCAGGGCACACAGCTGAGAGACAGACAATAATGAGGTGTGGTTTCATTATTCTCCTTGAAGAGCAGAATCTCTTCAGGCTGCATCCTTGCCCTAGAGACCAGCCATGGGGTTTTGTGAAGTGTTTTTGTTTTTTTGTTTGTTTGTTTGTTTTGTTTGTTTGTTTGTTTTCACCAGGCTGATGGCATCAGTCATTCGGTTCTTTTTTTTTTTTTTTAGAACAACTCAGCAAAATAAAATTCTGGTTTATTGTTGGACATTGTTTCACACATACATCAAACAGGCCAAATAAATAAATAAATAATAAACAGCAACTTCATAGACCAAAAAAAAAAAAAAAAAAAAAAAAAGGGAAAAAAGAAATCTTTTATCTTTGGCCTTTTTAACCATCTCATACAAACCAACTACTTATAGTACAGCTAAGTACATACACAAAAAGTTACTGGAATGCTCGGAATAAGATTGTTTTTTTGTTGTTGTTTTTGTTTTGTTTTGTTTTGTTTTTACAAGGTTTTTTTTTCTCCTTTGAGATTATAATGAACATGGTCACACCCCAAGTAAAGTCAGAAGAGGACAGAGAACGCTCTGAAGGCTGGCTTGGTCACCCGTTATCATTAAAAATGGCTGACCCCTAATATGTACACAAATATAAAATGTAAATAAAAAATACAAACAAATTTTCCTTTTAAAGTATTTTTAAGAAAGAAAGCAGGGCCTGGGAAGTTTGGTTCTTTTTCTCCCCTGTTGCAAATTCATGTTGTGGTTTTGGTGGGGTGGTGGAGAGCGCGTGTCATCTGTGGGTGACACTGCCCGCTGTGGGGCGGGGCCTGCTTAAGGCCTGTGGCCTTAAGTTTAGCTTTTCCTGTTTGCTGTCTAGTCATCCTCATCAGTCTTCTGCTTCTTGGTGTCAACATCATCATCCTCATCATCTTCAGCTACCCGCTTGCCCGTAGGAGCCTCAGTTTCCTCATCTTCATCTCCGTCCTCCTCCTCACCGTCACCTTCTTCCTCCTCCTCCTCCTCCTCTTCCTCCCCACCTTCTTCCTCTTCTTCATCTACCTCATTGTCAGCCTCCTGTTCCCCATTTTCCTCATTAGCATTCCCATTGGCAGGTGCGTCTCTTCCATTTTCTGCCTCCTCCACAACTTCCTTCTTCTCCTTCAAGTCCTTGGTGGTGATCTCGGAGCTGGTGTCCACTGCCGCGTCTGACATGGTGAGGCACACCGGTGGTCCGATGCAGCCGAGGGGAACAGAAACCGAGCTCGAGGACTCTGGCGAGAGGGCTGCCAGAGTCCGCGGTGGAGGAGGAGGAGGGCGGCGAAGGCGGCTGCAGGGAGCGGGGACCGGGACCCGAGAACATGCAAAGATGGCTTTTCGGAGCAGCCAGTGGGGGAGTCATTCGGTTCTTTTGATACCAATTAAATAACTTCATTCAAACAGCAAACATGACACTTGAGCTGGATTCCTCTCATACTTCTTGGCCTTACAACATAGAGAGAAGCCACTGAGAGGAAACAGAAACTGGGCATCGAACAAATGCAGCGGTTCAGATGTATGTTAACATTTGTGGAGGGAAGACGGCCACAGAAATTGAAAAAGTCATGAACCAGCAAAAACGTCAGTGGCCTCAGTGAGGCTGCCAGCCCTTGTGAGGCCCCTCCTACCCTTGAAGGTAGATGGCATCTGCAAGTTCTCCAATGCGGCAGTTTTCCAAGCCATGATGGTATAACTGACTCAGGAGAGAAAGGTGAATGTAGAGGGCGCACCTTAGGAGAACAGGTGTGGGTGTAGGGAGAGTTAGCCTGTGCACCCGCACAGAGTTTGAGATGGCCTGTCTACCCTCGAAGGAGAATACAGTCCACCTCCTAGGTAACTTTTGCTCAAAAGACATCGAAAAATCTGTTTTTATAGCCACGCTGAGCATGTTGGGACCTCTGACTGCTGTCTCCTGGATGCTGGTCTCTTCCACTTCTCTTACTCCAATGTATGGCTTAGGAGCATGTGTTTATTTGGTTAATGTCCATCTTTTCTTGTATGCTGTAAGCACCATGACTAACTGGCCCAGGTCTTGTTTAATTTTAGCTTGGAGTTTCAGCACCTGGCTCCCCGTGGGCATTTCAGCATATTGCTGATCAGAGAGAGAGAGAGATGATTGCTCAGGTGTGAAAGATTCCCGAGCAAGCATAAAGTAAGTATTCGCTGAGGGTTTGAGGTCTCCTGAGAAAAGTAAAGAGAAAGGAGGATTCTGCATAAGCTGAAGAAGAAAAGGTGCTGGACCCCTGGCTGAGTCCATCTTGGAGCAACAGTGAGCAAAGCAGCAACAAATGTGGATGTGCAGGTACTGCTGCTCCAACTCCCAGAGACATCACGGATGGTGCGGGCAGGAAAATGGTGGCAGAAGACAGAGGGGAGGGCTCCAAATGCTGTCTTCTCGACATGGCATGGCTGTTGCAATCATGAACACATAGCATAGCAGTTATGACTACCAGCACAAGTGTGCATGTACACTTTCACACACACACACACACACACACACACACACAAAACAACAAAATATTAAAAATGGACAAAATAGAAATTACTAGGTTGCCAGTCTTCAACATGGATATAAAATAATAAATAAATCAATATCACTGTTCGTTGTTATCAATATTTTACACAATTCAAATGTATTTAGCACACATGCCTCTGTGACCTGAATTGTTTATACCAGGGATGGAAGGTTCCCAGCTGGGACTTCATAAGAAGTCCAGGAAGAAGCCCAGACTGTCTATATTTAATAATCGATTTGTAACACCATTTTGATCAGGCCAGCCTGTAAAACTTTATTTGGCTAACACAAGTGTGGTCCAGAGGTAAGAGCCCTGCCAAATTAATTTCCACAGGCTTTGCTGAAGATAAAACTTAATCGGCCATCTCCTCAGTAAGAATTAATCTTTCATCAAAAATAATCCTCCTTGCTCTTTCTGCTTCTACCTAATTCTATAAAATTATAAACAAACAAGAATAAATAGGTAAAAGGCAGAACTATTTGTCACTTATCCCTCAAGTAGGGCTGCAGGGAGATTCAAAGACACAAGGAAGAAACTGAGACTCTGGCTGTGATGAAGCCTTCCCTGATCCCAGGGGCTGGACCACAGTAGGCATGACGGGTTTGGATCTGTTTCTTTCAATGGCTGCACGTGTAAAACATATCAACAAATCTAATCAGCTGCAGGAGCATCTTCCCTCACTAATGGAAATCACTTACACTTGGAAGACTCGTTTTTAATAGGTGCCCTGGGTTCACGTGGAGATAAAATGGAGTTTTCTAGATCTTCCAACAGCACAGTGTGTCCCTCTGTCTTTTCTTCTGTGCTAAGGATGGCATCAAGACATTGAAAAATATGTTGCTTAGGGTTCAATAGTTAAGAAAACTGTTGCTCTCACAGAGGACCCAGGTTTAGTTCCTAGCAGTTAGGTCAAGCAGCTGACAACCTTCCGCAACTCCAGCTCCTGGAGGGTCTGTCTCCCTCTTCTGGCCTCTGCAGGAACTGCACCCGTACTCACCCACATACAGACAGACACATCCATGCACATAACTAAAAATAAACTAAACATTTTCTTTTTAAAAATTTGCTTTTGACTTAGGCTTCTCCGCCCTCTGTCCCATGAATGCTAAGACTCTATTACGTATGCTTTACGTGTGTTTACCCATATATGTTTTCCTTTTCTATGCACACTTCACGCAGAAAAGGACTCTGTGTGAGTTGCTTCTATTTTCCCACTTGTTTGTGCAGTTTCTCACCAACTACAATTTTGTAGTTACTTAAAAAACATCAAGCAAATAAGTGAATATGTACCTGTATCTCAGAGCATGTTTACCCTAGTTTCAAAAACAAACACAAAACGGTCTGCATGAGTTTCAGTTCTGTCACTGTGATAAAATATCCTGACCTAAAGCAACTTAGGGGATAAAGGGTTTATTTTGGCTTGTGATTACAGGTTACAGTCTGTCAGGGTAGGGAAGTCAGGGCAGCAGGAATTTAAAGCAGCTTGAACATCACGCCCACAATCAAGGATACAGAGACATGAATGCATGTCTGCCTTTGGTTCAGCCACCTCTCCATTCTTACACAGCCCAGAACCCAAACCTGGCAATGGTATGACACTTTTGGGCTGTGTCTTCCTACATCAGTGAGAGGATTCAGGACAACCTCTGCTTCCTGATATTCCCACAGGCCAATCCAATTTAGACAATTCCTTACGAAGGCTTTCTTCACTGGTAAGTCTAGATTATGTCTAGCTCATGAAGAAAACGAACAAAAGCCCTGTTACTACTCCATGCCTCACTAACTGTGTGAGATTTACCCACACTTCCTCCAAAGACACTTTATCTGCATTGACTATGACCCCTGTGATCCTATCTTTAAAAAATTGAAGAAAAAGAAATCCTTGCCAGTAATCAAATATCTAGAACTCCATCCATGCAACCATGGGTTTAAACTCTTCCAAACCACCCTTTGACAATGATCCTTAGACAAAAGACACCATAGGACCTTGCTATTTAGGGTACCATAGGGCTTATTCCATCCTTAACTGTATGAACGATGGCCACTTCCGTACAAAGTACTCACCACACCCTATCAAAGAACATTCCTAGTGGAGTTTACAACAATGGGTTTCTAGAATGCTGTGAGGCTCAGGGAGCAAACATTTTCCTGGGGCATGTTTGTTTGTTTGTTTAAATCTCCTGGGATACTTATAATGACCCAATAACTCCACTGCAGTTTCTTGTTTAGAATTCATTTGTACTTTCTCTTTTGCCACTGAAAACACACAATCAAGCAAGCATAAGCGATAGCTTGAGCCTGAATGATTTGTTTATCATATGTCAAAAGTTCAGAGGAAGCACTTCAGGGTCCTTAGCTTTCCCAGCTGGTTCACTCAAAGGTGCCTTTGCTTTTGAGCTTTGGTACAGCCTGACCTGAGCTTCTGTAGCTACCATCAATGTTTAATGGACATTGCTGGACTCATTCGGTGTTTGGATGGAAGGTTGGTTTGAGTAGCACCTCCTTTGTCATGTGTTAGGATGAAAGAACCTGCAGGACAGCTCTTGTGGGATTCACTGTCAAGTGGAGAAGGAGGGTCTTAGCTCTTCTTAACATCAACATTTTCACTACATGTGAAGCAATGATTAAGTAGATGTGAATGGCTGTTTTTCAACAGGATCAGAGGGTCCATTTCATTTTTAATATGTATTTAACTCTTAGGAACAACTACCTACCAATATATCATATCATATCATATCATATCATATCATATCATATCATATCATATCATCTCATCTATCTATCTATCTATCTATCTATCTATCTATCTATCTATCTATCATCTGTCTATTTCATTATCATCTAGCTAGCTATTACCTGCTCATCTATCATCCATCTTCCTATCATCTACACATCTATTGTTTATCTCTATGTCATTCACCTATCTGTCAATATATCTGTCTGTCTGTCTATTCTCAATAGATGATCCATGTCTATCCGTTATCACCTACAAATCTGTCTTCCAGTTCTATTTCTCTAGGGAGCCCTGTGTGATACAGTGGGGTGATTTCTAACAGAGTGACACCCACAGCAACACATGCAACCCCTTTCCCCAGGTATAAGTGGAAATAATTCTAGCAGCAGCCACTGGTTTCTATTAACGGTCTGTCCTGGAAGGCACAGAATCCACCTCAGTAGCTCCACAAGCACTTCTATGGATCCATTCTTCAACACCACTTGGGACATTTTCTTTCTTCAGTTCTTTCTAATTCTTTCTCAGTAGCCCTCTTAGATGATATGAGGTAACCCAGTATCATGTTAGTGAACCTCCTCTTCTCTGTAAAGTACACATAGTCACATTCTGTTGTTTGCATCACACAAAAGTTACTGGATCAAATACTGAAATAGTGATGAGAACTTAAAACTCCAGATTATTTTCCAAGATGGTTTGCCTATTTTCTCTGAAGTCATACCAAGACTAATATCAGAGGGTCTGATCATTGACTCTATTTGTTGATTATTGGGTCACCAGTAAATGTTAATATGCATCTCAAATTGTCACTCAGAGCCCGCTACTGTCACCAGTAAGAAAAAATAACTCAATCACTGAAACCAGAGAAGTAGAAAGAGGTCTGGAGGGTAAATCAGTGGAGCAAAATGAGATAGGGTGGAATAGGATGGGATGAGTGGAATGGAATGGGATTAGATGGGTTGAGAT